ATACAATTCATCACATTTACTTCTATATAAATATAGACTTTTTGATGTAATTCTAATATATGTTTTTTCACAAATTGAGGTATTTTGTCACCAGATAAAAAGAGAAAACAGCAAAACTATGCCATAACTTCAGACAAAATTGAATGTTCTTTCTTTCTTAAGTAATAGAAAACTTCGAAAAATTTGTCTACTTACAATAAATCTCCAACTAGTTCTTCGACTCTTTAATAGCATATGTAACATTAATATTAAATTTGGTTTCAATTTATCACTATCAATTATTGATATAATATCCTGTCATTTCAAAATAGATTAACATCTAACATTAACTACCATTAAGATAGTAAAAACTAGAAGCCACTTCTGTTCTTAACAACGCAGACAAAAAATTGTAGATTGATATCATTTCCGACGTTTCAATATCTGCTAATATTTCCTGTTGTAATAATTTATTGATAGGTAATTATTTATCTTTTAATTTCCCTGAAATAAAATACTTACAAACGACATTTTAACAAAGAATTTATAAGGTTAGTACAGCCAATATATTTATTTATAATGAAGTTACATACATATTATGAAGTTGGGAAAAAATTACTGCATAATTTAATTTTTATTCCTTCCTACACCTAATTACAATTTTGGAACTAGAATTAGTCACAATATGTTAGAGTTAGATTTAACCTGCGTTATGAAACTTAAAGATTGATGACTTACTTGAAAAAGTAATTTTCTTGACACATGACCTGGCAATTTTGCAATTCGCTGCTACGCATGCATGAGAGTTTACATTTCACCTGGTTAAGGTTCTGAAAATGTATATGCGGATGGATGTAAGAAAATAAGTTAAATTCTAAGTTTCCAACATAAGTCATGACATAATTGGTAGTGTAAATACATGGTGGGCCATTAGTGTGAGAAAGTAAAATAACCCTTGTTACTCATAATACAGAAAAAAGTTTATATAAAAGTTGTACAGAATCAAGAAACCTAAACTGTAAAATTAATTTGTAACATACAGGACGATGAGTACAAACTGGACACGCCAAAGATTACATTTTTTAAATGGAACACCATGTATATTTTTAAACATATGGATTTCCGAGAAAATTATAAATATGGCAATATAAACAGTTTATCATTTTAGTGCGGGGTTGCCAAGTTATGTAGAAAATTCTTCGAATTTTAGAAAAAAACATGACCTCAAATAAGTAGTTTCAACTGCTAACACTTGGAACAAAATAATTATACAGAGTTATAGGCAAATGTTAGACAAATGCTCCTATATTAGCTAATATCGATATTTTGTACAGGGCATTTTTTATAATAGGATCATTTTTAGAAAGTTTAAACTTAATTTTCTAAAATTTTTCAAATGGAACGCCCTGTATTTTATTGTTCTATTTTATTCACATATCGGTCCACTTCAGCTTTTATGTCAGCTTGATTTATAACAGTATAAAAATTTAAAATCCGCTTAAATTACTCACAACACTGAAATAGTTAATTTTATTTCCAGTTTAACAATTCAAATAAAGAAATTAGCTACTTAAAAGTATGTTTCGAAACAGTGACCTATAACTCTAAAACTAATAGTAGCACCAAATGTAGCNTATGGATTTCCGAGAAAATTATAAATATGGCAATATAAACAGTTTATCATTTTAGTGCGGGGTTGCCAAGTTATGTAGAAAATTCTTCGAATTTTGGAAAAAACGTAACCTCAAATAAGTAGTTTCAACTACTAACACTTGGAACAAAATAATTATACAGAGTTATAGGCAAATATTAGACAAATGCTCCTATATTAGCTAATATCGATATTTTGTACAGGACATTTTTTTATAATAGGACCATTTTTAGAAAGTTTAAACTTAATTTTCTAAAATTTTTCAAATGGAACACCCTGTATTTTATTGTTCTATTTTATTCACATATCGGTCCACTTCAACTTTTATGGCCGCCTAGCCGGGTGTCTTGGCCGGCGGATTTCGATCTGCCGAGTCAAGCATCACGGACGTGGGCTGAAATTTGGATGGGTGACCTAAGGCAGGCTCGGGGACGTGGCTGTGGCAGCCTACCAAGAGACCTGGGTCGCCCAACATTTGCCGCACGCGTGTGGTCCCCGATAAATGGTAATGAGAGCAGAGCAAGAAATCTCTGTAACTCAAAACCATGCTATCATACATAAACTGTACGAGACTTTGCCATCAAGCCCTCCGTGTAGTAAATAAGATGGTTTGAAGAAAACAGTATAAAAATTTAAAATCCGCTTAAATTACTCACAACACTGAAATAGTTAATTTTATTTCCAGTTTAACAATTCAAATAAAGAAATTAGCTACTTAAAAGTATGTTTCGAAACAGTGACCTATAACTCTAAAACTAATAGTAGCACCAAATGTAGCGAAAACCCCGATAAATGGGACGGTTTTATATTATTATTTTGAAAACCAGCCAATTTCCATAAAATATCTATCAATGTCGTTGGAATACATTTTCTTTCAAATTTATATTATCCGAACGTAGGAAACAGAGGCAGAGATATATCTGTAAATTATCTTTCTTGAAAGGCAAAATGGGTGTTAATGTTCGTTCCGGTATATAGTTATATTTTCCAGTGACCCAATGAAGGTTATCATAATAAAACTTAAGGAAGGTTATAAAAGCATACCGATTTACTTGATTAAAGTACAAAGAATATATTTCAGACCACAACAAATTATATGGATAAAGTAATAATAAATGAGGGCAAAGTACGTATTAACCTGGAAAGCCTGGAAAATGCTGAGAAAGACAGGGAATAAAAAAAGTCATTAAAAAGTCATGGAACCGACTTTAAATTATGTTTTGACAGAATGAGGTAGTAATGTTAATTTTCTTACAAAAACTATACTTACTTTATAAAAATACAGAATGAATCTTAAATGTACACCAATATTTTGACAATGGATATAATTCCGGCAAATATGAGTCGGATGAAAGTAGTTACAAACATTTACGAATATACAGGCTGTTACAAATTTGCTTCTCACTACAGGGATCTCGAAAACTCTGATAATGTTTTATTGTAACGTGAGATGATAATGGTTTACATAACTAGGTGGATTCCACTTGGGTCTTGAAGACTTGCAAAAAAAATTGCAAAATTTCCAGGGTCGTATTTAAGAAAATGAAGTTGATGATGGTCCTGAAGAGACGAAACGTTTCATATAAAAATTGATTATGCCATTCGATAGAGGGAAAAAGTTGCCATGAAAAAGTGTTCTTCTTTTTTCAATATCACCTCAAACAAGGCTGAAATGAAACAAACGGATTTCCAAAATTTTGCTTTTTTCTCAAATATTTCAAAAACTAATCATGTTAGCCTTGATTTTTTAGAGGCATAATGTTGGTTCCCTGATTATGCAACTTTGCACCTATTTAAGTTCAAATATGTATCTTTAATAAATCCGAAAACGCACATTTGCAAACGATAAATTTCCCAAATCCTATCCTACTAAAAAAAATGGTTTAGTGAACCAAGTTTTTGCATATAGAAAAAGTAAAACAACTCGGCATTTTCATTTTTTTCGAAATTTAATTATTTTATTTCATTCGTTTAATTTCTTTTAAATTATTGTTCAAATAAGAGGGAAATTTATACTTCTTGGCGAGAAGTCTGAAGACATTTTTTTGTATAGGTACTTTAATAATTATAGGTATAGTTTTTATGTAGGTTCGAAATTGCTACAACTATACAATAAATAAAAAAATCAGAACGTTTTAGGAGAAATTAGTCTTAAAAAAGATATCTGCAGCTCCAAATATGCACTTTTTAATATTAATTCAAAATTGGGCGGTCATTTTTTTTTACTACAGATCTTTCATAAATGATTACAAGCCACGTGACCAGCAATTTTGTTCGGAACAGTAACACTATTTCTATCATTTTGGCAATTAAATTTCGGCAAAATTAAAATTGATTCAAATGATGAGATCAAGATTACATTAAAACAACATTCTGTTTCACTGGCTGGTTACTGGTGTCGTTTTTCACTACATAACAATTTGTCATTGTTCATTGTAAACGAGTCGTTAATATTGGTGGCAAGATTTAGGGATTTTAGTTGACAGTACCAGCTATGCATTGTTGATTGCCTAAGTTCGGCAGTCACGTGGCATATAAACATTTATGAAGGCTCTTACAAGTTTGTATTAAATATAGAACTCGAGATTTCACTCCATAAAACATTTGAATATATAGAAAATTTATAGGATTTTTTTGTATGAATATAATTTTACAAAGTGATTATTAAAAATTCGAAAAAATGATTGAGGTAAAAATGTTGAATTCTGTGACAGCAGAGGACATAACTCCATAACATTAACGTATATCAAGTAAAATATTCTTTGAAGTTATTTAATTGTGCATAGTTTTCGGTTTTTCTTATTTATTGATTATTTTGCCACCTGAGAAAAAGGATAATTAAATATTTAATAAAATTTTGAGTCAAGTGAATCAGTCAAGGGTTATTTTTATGAATGTTTGCTTTTGTTTGTCTAACCAAATATCTCGCATTAGGAAAAGCAGACAAATATAAAATACACATCATTGTACAATCGCACACTTCAATTAGTTTTGACGTTTCAAAAATCAAACTATTTTCGTTTTCAAAACTCAGCAATGACGTACTGTCAAAAATAATCTTAAAATGTAACGTCTGCTTTTTTTCAGTGTAAGATTTTTAGTTGGTGAAAACTATTTTCATAAGAAATAACCTTGATTGATGCCCTTGAAGGTTAATTTGATTATTTTTTTTTCATAGCTGGCAAAATTCCAAAAAAATAAGAAAAATGCCGCTGCAAAAATGTATAGATGTAATGTTGTTAAATACTATATGCGCAAATTTCTTGAGGAAAATTAAAAAAAACTGGAAACTACCCTCATCGAACACATAAAAGCCCCGTCGAACAGCTTTGCCGCAGTTATTCAATTCCCTTTGCTTCCGTCGTTCCAGGTCGATGTTGAAGCCGCAGCCGCCGGCGAAGCCGTCGATCGACCTGTTGGCACAGGCGCCCACCATGGACAATAACCGGCTGGAGAAGCTCGTCAAAAACTTCGTGGACGAGGACAAGGCGCGGATAGCGGCGGCGAGGAACAAGGCGATGCCGTCCAGCATTCAGTACGCCCTGCAGAAGTTCGAGAAGGGCGGTTCCACCACGCAGACGGACGGCAGCGGCGCCGCCATGGGGGTCTACGCGAGGAAAACCGCCACGCTGCCCGCCAAGAAGACGAACAGCTACGGACAAGTCAACAATTTCCCGGCGTCGCCGTCGTTGCAGGTGAGATATCTCTGACATTGAGTTATTGTAACTATTATATTATGTATGAGGACTATACAGGGTCGGAAAGTACCGATGGTCCATTTGTTGTTACGTGAGAGCGATAAAGTAAGTCATAGAAATCCGTGCGATAGAAAAAGATGGCTATAATGAAGGCGTCTAATAGTCATTCTTCTCTATCGCATGGATTTCTATGTCTTACTTTATCGTTCTCACGTAACGGCAGATGGACCATCGGTACTTTCCGAACCTGTACATACCATATGTACTTATTTAACTAGGACAGTACTTACTTTTAAATAATGTCCTAATGTACTTTAAAACTCTTCTAAGGACATGCGAATGTACTTCTTTTAAAAAAAGGAGAAAGCTTTTTATTTTTTTACTGTTTTTAAACAAATATCTTGATATATTGTTCTCAGTTAATTTCTGTTGCCACTTTTACTTGAATATTGACCCACTGGCGTTCAGATAATATGAAATAGTGCGTTCAGATAATATAACATTCGACCGTACCCAATATTTTTATTTCTATCTAATTGCAAAGGATAGACAGAGCTACCGATTATACTACCATCGATAGTCGGCATCTCTGTCTATTCATATTACACTCCGTGCAAAATTACAGGTGATGTTTACTGTTTAAGGTAGTCCCTTTGAATAAAATCTAGTCTTAAGACACGTACAGAAATTTTTAGTTCAATAGTTAACGCAATACTGAATATCTGAATAACATATTTAAATTTTAAATCGATTGACCATTTCGTTTTTTTTAGAAATTAATTTTCAATGTTTAAAGAATTAACACGTGGGAGATGGGATTCGTTATATTTCTCATAAACCACTTTTTTCAGTTATGCACAAATTTTTGTATGCTTAGAATAATTTTTTGTTATTTTTTCGGTACAAAAAAATATGATATTAGTTTTAATAAATAAAATAGTTTTGTCCAATAAAAAGATATATTTGGCGTTTATAAAATATTTTTGCATATTTTGCAAATATTTATTTCTTTAAATTTTGTACTTTTTTTATGAAAAAAGGTATGGTCACCGTAAATACAGAACTTTATTATTCCTACAAATCCTTCTGAAGGAGTTCATGCTAATATTAAGATTTATGAAATCTAGCATCTGCGTCTGAAAATCATTCGCTAAAAATAAATCTAAATAAATATGTTGCCTGTGTACTTTTGTGTGATAATAACTTTGGAGTCATCTTATTGAAAAGACTTAAATTCTTAAAGAAGTATGTTTTCAAAATGTAGATGTATAGATATTTTTGAGTAGTCAAAAAATGTTTATGTGATTTTGTGATTCTATTTATATGTATTATTACGATAGTATACACACAGGGTGAGTCAGTTTTTTGTAATAGGATTTTAACAGTTGATAGAGAATCATTTTTTAATAAGAAACGCTATAAACGCCAAATGAATTTAACCAAAAACCGTTCATTTTATAAAAAATTGTGAGTTCTGTTTTGTTCAGAATTGATTAAAAAATTAAGAAAGGATGTTATTTTCCAGAAAAATTCACGGGCGTACGAATTATTTTTTTAAAGGGGAGGCAGTAACCCACCTCAGGCACGTCACTGGTGGGTGAAATGATTAACAAATATCTTTATTTTATTCACCATAACTAATATGTTATTAATACCAAATTTCAGTTCAATATATGTTGGACTTTTAGAGATATTAAGAAAAATTCTTAAAAAAGTTTGTTGTCAACACCCTATATCTCACAAACGAAGCGTTCTAAGACCTACGTTTATAGGAACTTTTCTTATTAAAAAATGAATCTCTATCAATTGTTAAAATCCTACCACAAAAAACTGACTCACCCTGTATAATATGGTTCATAAATAATATTGTTTCACAACGCTTGCAAAAATTAAATTAATTATTGGCTTAACATGTGCAATAGAAATTCCTTCCACATCTATATAGAATAATTAAATACAGGACAGACATTCATAATTTAAAGATTCGTAGAAAACGTATTGTTTTCACACTGTCGCAAACCTATTTTTAAAAGATCTTTTTGTTACGGTATAGTTTCTGGTATTAGTAGTAATCACAATATTGATATTTCTCTGTCTTGTATTTTATTTAGCAAAAGTTACAATCAAAACTTTTTATTAGGTATTACTCATCTCTACATTTTCACTTATGTTTACTAAATTATCTAATTATTGTGACAAAAAAAAAGAACATTAATCAAATCTAATTAGTATCGAACATAACGCGCTTTATTATACAGAGTGTTTATGAAACAAACGGCGAAAATTCAAGGGGTTATTTCCTGGACTATTCTAAGAATATTTTGTCCTCTGGTGAGTTTTGAAAAGCCGCTTTGTTCCGAAAATACAGGGCGAAAAAAAATTTCGACAATAACATTTTGTTACAGAAAATTACATGTAAAGCTCCTTAATCTAGAAGAACTGTTGAAAACGACTACCTCCAGCTAGGATGCAAGAATTCAATCTTTTCGTCATTGACTGTCGAACTCTTTCAAAAACACCAGGGTCGTTTCTTATTGAGTTACACCCAGCAATTATTCTATTTCTTAAATCTTCCACATTTTCCACTAGAGTAGTATAAACTAATGACTTTAGATAGCCCCATAGGAAATAATCCAGGGGGTTTAAGTCCGGGCATCGAGCAGGCCATAAGTGAGGTCCATCTCGACCAATCCAGCGGTCTCCATATGTTACTGTTAAAAGCTCACGAACAACCACACTAAATTGCGCTGGTGCACCATAGTGCATTAACCACATAGCTTTGCCAATGGTGCATCCTACAGAAAATTAGGTAGCGTAAGTCTTCCTGGTAGAAATACCGGTCCAATTAGCCAGTCACCCACAATTCCAACCCAAACGTTCAACAAGAAATGATGTTGAAAACGATCTTCAAGTGGTTATTATGAAAATACCTTATTGCATTTCTTGAGAAATTCGCTTCATCGGTAAAAAGAATCAGCGTCAGTAGTTGAAGGATTTGAACGTGTCCAAATTTTATATTTGGTAAACCCAGTGTAGTACGCCATACTTTTATTTCGACTATTAATAATTTCAAAAATATCAGAATTGGGTTTGTCGAAAATTTTCCTCGACCTATATTTTCGGAACAAAGCAGCTTTTTAAAAATCGTCAAGGACAAAATATTCTTAGAATTGTCCAGGGAATAATCACTTGAATTTTTGCCGTATGTTTAATAAACACCCTGTACAGGTATTGATACGGACGTCAGTCGTATCCTATACCGAATTATATTGCGAACACATTAAATGCAACATTGTTCATAGGTGACAACCACAGTAAATTGGTTTGACGAGTTCTAAAATAAAACGTGTTAGTAAACCAAGAATAAAAGGGATTAACATAGAAATTTATATAGCTCAGTGACAAAGGCCAGTCAATTCGATCACTCGTTAACCTAAATAAGAAAATGACTGCCAAGTACTTAGGCGAAATTCCAAGTCACTTATTTGAATTAGTAGGTACGTTAAATTGAGATATACCTCTAACTGGATAAATATCATAATTTTTTCACCTCAAATATTTATAAAGCGATCTTTGAATTTCTTTTAACTTAATTTTGTGAATTTGGTAACCGATTCCATACGACTTCATGGATAAGTCTTGCATCTAGTTTTGGAACACATTTACCTTTAAATTTACTGTTTACCTTCCTCTTCAACAACTTTCGACTTGTTCTTGCTCATTATTTTGGTCATTTATCTAAAAAACTGTTCTATGAATTCTGATCACTATCTAAATACCTAAATAGAATTTTTTTCGCATTTTAAAGCATTACTTTTGAGATACTATTTCTCGTCTGTTTCACGATGAGTAAGAACTAGCGTTTATACATTAAAATGTTTGCAGTTCAAAATTTGTAGATTAGTCTAAATATTTGCATTAACTATAAAATATACGGATACCAAGTAAAACACATTCTTGTGTAGCTTTGCGTAGTAAACTGTTTGAAGTTAAATGTGCAATAAAATACTTTAATATGATACAGTAAAACAAAGAGGCTGATAATCAGTGGCTAGTTTAGTTCATATAGCCAGATTTTAAATGCTTATCTGCATTTTCACAAAAAAAAATATATTGTTAAGTGTACTTTGATCACAATACCATAAAATTTTTGGTAAAATGACGTTATTACTGGATTGACCTCGGATATTATAATATGCCTGTGAAACTAACAGACACAACATATTCGTTCTTCTTGATTATACAAAGGGCCAAGAAAAGTGTAGACAGCTATAATAAATTATTTATGTTACATAAAGTGAAAAATATCTGCAAAATGGGTATGCCTTCAATTATGCTGTTTTTTAAGTTAATAAGTAGTATGCTGATCAAAATTATATACAGTGTGTATCAGCCAAATGGAATAAATTCAATAATAAATAAATGGGGGCGTGTTCGAAAAAGTGCTCGGACACGTCGGTTGGTATTTTTAGTTGCGCACTTTTTTCAACAAAAACTTTTTATACAGGATGTGTCATGTAACAGTGGTGTCAATACCAACTTTAATTTTAAATGCAATGCCGTATATTATTCAATTTTTGAATTCTTCAGAAAATTCTAGACATATTTCATATACAATGTCCTATACCTATCTTCAGCTGTTTCGGAAATATTAAATGTTTTCAGATTTATTGCAAAAATTAACATTAAAAAAAGAAAATTATTTGATTACAGAAATTCGCTACAACACACTCAATACTTATTTCCCATTTAGCTCTTGATAATGAGAAAGTAAGCAAAAACCATTTCAGCGTTCCTTTTTACTGATATGAAATAAAAAAAACTATAAATAGTTTTGTTTAAAACATCTGGCAACGTGTTGTCTGCCTGCATGACAATAATTGTCAGTGTTATAGTCAGTTGAATTTCGTTAACTTGCATATCAGAAAAACGGTTCATTTAACAGAAATGCACAAAATAACAATTCTACAGATGATTGGTTATGGAGATAACAACAC